TGTGTACGGCTAAATTTGTACGGCTTAATCTTGTACGGGGTGTGGGGTATGGGTGGGTGTGGGTGTAGATGGGTGTGGGTGTAGATGGGTGTGGGTGTAGATGGGTGTGGGTGTAGATGGGTGTGGGTGTAGATGGGTGTGGGTGTAGATGGGTGTGGGATGTGGGTCTTCTCTTCACACCGACACTCACACCCACACCCCGTACAAGATTAAGCCGTACAAATTTAGCCGTACACATTCAGCCGTACAAAATTTAGCCGTACAAGATTAAGCCGTATAGATTAAACCGTACATATTTGGTCGTACACACTTAGCCGTACAGGATTACGCCGTATAAGATTAAGTCGTATGAGATTAAGCAGTGTAGATTGAGAAGCATAGAATAGGACTAACAAAACGCCTTAGAAAAGAATGTACTTTGTTTATGTACGAAAGTAGGTGCATTGAATGAAGAATGTAGAGCATAGTTTTGTGCGGATCTTGTCGAAGTCAATTTCTGGAGATCGAGATTCGTTCCCCCGTAGGCGTATTCAATATTTTTCGAAATTACGCCGTACATGCCAGTTGGTCATGAAGGTGTACGAGCTTTTTTTATCGTTTCCGATCGAAACGATAAACCGGATGGACTCATAAAGGATACGTGCAAGTTTCAAGTGACAAAGAAAAGACCAAAGTTTCGTGTTTCATCACATATCAAGACTGCGTCAAGATTACCCTTGCTAACTTTTTAATGCCTCCAAGTTTACCCTGCAAAACTGGCTTTAATTAGTGTGAATCAATACTATGCTCATCTTTCACACAATAACACTCAGATACCTAATTGTACTTCACCAACATTCCACTTCGGGCCACAATGAACTTCTCGAGCTTTCGGAGGAACAGATTCATCAAGAAGAAAATTCAAGCTAATATGTCCGTCATGCACACCAACCAAAGACTACCAATAGTTACCACGTTCTCCAGGATAACTTTCACCCATGCTTTAAATACAATTCAATAGCAAAACTTTTGTTTTTTTTGTTCCTGATATAAAGTCATAGCATGTGGTCAAAAGGAAATCAATAGCGCGCAACTGTCAAAGAAGAACAATCATAAAAATATAGCTGCCTACAGCTAAAGGTATACCGTGAAGGGTATAGGAATAAGGGTATTAGGTTAAGCATACAGGAATAAGGGTATTGGATTAAGGGCATGGGGTTAAGGAAATAATATTAAGAGTATAGTATTAAGGGTAACGGAATAAGGATATAGGCATAAGGGTATAAGGTTACGGATCTAGGCATAAGGGTACAGGGTTAACAGTATAGGAATAATGATATAAAGTTAAGGATATAGTATTAAGGGTACAGTAATAAGGATATAGGAATAAGGATATAGGCATAAGGGTATAAGGTTAAGGATCTAGGAATAAGGATATAGTATTAAGGGTATAGGAATAAGGGTATAGTATTACGGGTATAGGAATAAGGATATAGTATTAAGGGTATAAAGTATAGGGCTAAAGGTATAGGATTAAGGATATAGGCATAAAGGTTTAGGGTTAAAGGTATGGCATTAAGGGTTTAGGGTTAAGGAAATAGAGTTAAGGGTACAAAGGTAAGCGTAAAGGGATAAGAGTATAAAGTATGACGTTCTCAATCCGTTAAAATGCATTTTTAACAATAATGTATGCAATTGCATTATGATGCAACCTAAATAATGTATTATAATGTATTAAAACCTCAATGCGTTGCAATGCATTACAAAATCAATGAATTATAATGCATTATTTAGGTTGCATTATAATGCCATTGCATTCATTGACTTTCTATGGCAAAATAATGCATTATAATGCACATTATTTCTAAAAATCGGCTACATGGGATAACCCGTTAACATTACGTTTTTTTAATGCTTCAACTAATAATGCTTGTAATGAACGTAACATAGTTATTAATTGTTGATCAGAATCAAGTGGTGGTTTAAAAAAAAATAAAAAGGAATAATATTTTCAAAAAATATTTTCTTTTTTTTTGCTTACATGTTAAATATGACCACTGATGTAACCAATGATGTTTATCAATATCATCAGCTATTAAACCATTACCATTATTTCGTGATTGATCAAGAGCTAATCGACAAGCCCAATTTTCATCTAAATATTTATACATTAGTTAGAGATCGACAAAAAAAAATATTCGATCGATGTATTATAATAAAAAAAAACAATATATTAATTAGATTAAAAGAAAAAGATCATCATTAGAATCAACTGAGGGTGTATGTTAACGGCATAATACCGTTTATTCCATCTTTTAGCTCTTATGCATACCATTATGAGGGTAAATTCTTTAAATGAATAACTTACATTGATAAAATGGTTCTTTTAAAATTTTTTGCAGAATATCTTGAGTATTTTGTTTTTGTAAATTTTGATTATTAAAATAATCAAATGATGATGATATTGATTGTTTTTTTTTCAATTAATTCTAATAAATTAATTGATAAATTATCATTTAATTGACGATATTTAATATCAGCTTTAATTCCTGTTATTTCAATTTCATCTTCATAAAATAAACCAGATGAATAGCCTAAACGTAAATTCACAACAGCTGAAAAACCACATGAACATGAATTATTTGTTGATGATATTGATTGTTGTTGTTATTGAGAATATATTGTTGAATATTGATATGGTGATTGTTGATGTGTATACATATGTGAATGTATAGATTTAATATTATCATGTGGCTTTTCTAAATATATTATTGAATCAATACCATGTATTGATAAATCATTTGAATTACATGCACATAAAACACATGAATCAAAATTAATATCACGATATATATTTAAAATACTATCAGTAAGTAAAATATTAAATATAAATGAATCAATTTCAGGTATTATTGATGGTATAATACCACCTATTGGACTATTTATTGTTTGAACACTACTAATTGATCGATTAGGATATGGTGATGATTGTAAATCATTTGAACGCATTGGTGAATAAAGATTTGGTATTGGTGTTGGCATTGAACGTGGTGTTGTTTGTTGTCGTAAAATTTGTTGATTATTATTAAATGGACTTGATGATATATCATTAATTGGTATTGTATGTTTCCAATTTCGAAAATTTCTATGATATATTGATGTTGTTATTGATAATGATTTTGATGGTTCATAACGTTTATGAAATTTTTTTAATGAAAATTTATTTAATGGATAATAAGACGATTGTTCGGCAATAGAATTTGATTCAAATGGTCCAAGTATAGATTCTTGATTAAAATGATTTAATGCATCAAGTGTATTTGCAACATGTATTTATGTATCAATTATAATTCCATATGGAGAATGTAATGCTTGAAGTTTTTCTGATGATGAAGAACCTGGTGGTGTATTATAGATTTGTTCCATTTCATGAAGAGCTAAATAAATGATTTTATTGAACTTTTTTTTTGTTAATAATTTATAGATTCAACATTTCTCTAGAATTAAGAAAAAAATTGCAGAGGAAACCTCAGTCCTTGCTTGAAACTGGAATGAAAGATATTTTCTTTGCCTATAATATAGAATCCTAGCTTTTGAATTACCCGAAATATTCACTATTGACAAATGACTTGCAGTAAACTTATCATTAATGGTTGCTCTTTTATTCGCGGTATTTGAAATAATTTTTACTTCTACTTTGAATAAGATTTAGCGCATTGTCAATTTATGGACCTTGAAAAGAACTTCTGATGCTAATTCAATGTTGTCAAATTTCTACAACCTTCTCAAATTACTTTTCGATAACACGATATATGTCTTATTATCAAAAGAAAGAAATTAGAATGAAGATGGTTACCTAGCTCTTCAGAATTATAGCTCTCTTTTGATACAATTAAAATGTGTTAGATAAATTCCCTCTTCTTCGAATCTAACAAACCTCTATTTAATGATCGATTGACAGGATATATACTACCATTATTAATATATACTTGGAATAGGAGGTGGTGGAAGTATATTTTCTTTTCGACTTGGTGATTTAATATTATTATCAGAAATATTATGTGTATGAGTATTTGTAGTTTTATTTTCTATTGTATATTGTGAATCAATAATTGTTTCAAGATCAGCCATTGATGGTCCATCTGTTGGAAAAAAATGATGATTGATTTGATGAAGGAGTATTATTGGATGTTGAAATTAAATAATTTGTTCGTGATGTTAAATCTTCATTATCATCAAAATCAAGATTAGACTAAAAATATAAAGAAAATATAGAAATTAAAAAAGACAAAACAAAAATCATCGTACATGAAATGATATTTGACTAGGACTAGGAGGTGTAGGTTGACCATGTTGATAAACATGTTCACAAGTTGTTATTGTTGATTCAAACTCATTCAAATTTAATTGATCATCAGTTCGAAAACGTTTTAAAGGTAATTGCAAACTTAAATAATTATTAATACAAAAAAAAAAAATAAGGAAAATTCAAATAGAAATTAAATCTTACAATGAATCACTTCGATAAAAATGATATGTTTGTTTTTGTTGTTCTGGTTCATCATCTTCAATAAATGTTTCATCAAATGCTTTTGTTGCTGAACGTTTAATACCACGTGTTGATATTGGATTTGGTGCTGAAGAATTTGTTATTGTAGAATTTTGATTTGTAATTGAAGTAAGTACTTATGGTGGACCTGTAATACCACCAACACTATTTGGTGTTGATGCTGTCCAATCAGCTGGTTTTTCATTAGTTGTTAATTGAGTATTTGTTGTTACTCTTGAAGATGATGTTGATTCGATTAGAGTATCATGATTTTCAATTGATTCTGATGAAGAATTTTATATTTTAATTGGATCAATTTTATTTCGAATAGATGAATCAGACGTAATAGGAGATGTTGTACGAGGACGACGATGAAATGGAATAAATGGTGATGAACGTGCATTTATTGATAAAGTTTGATTAGATTGACATAAATGATGATTAACTGGATCATTAATTGTTAAACATATATCATTTTGTTGATTATCTTGTCTAGAAAATAAACAAATTTTTATAGATTTAATTTTCTTTTTTTTTGTTTTTGGAAATTTTACTTTTTTTCAAGATCAATACAATTATTTCGTTGAGTTGCAACTAATAAATTATTAGCAAATTTTTTTATAAAAGAATTTTCAATTATATTTTTATTTGATGTTATATCTAAAGTTGTATTTATTGATGTTGTTGTTGTTGCTGTTGATTTTGGTTTTTTTGTTATTGATGTATTAGATTTTTTATTTGTTGAAGTATTTTCATTATTTGTTGTTGATTCATCATTTGAGCCAATTTTATATACATAACATGTTGGATAGAACATTCGAGCATTACCTTCGAAATAAAATAAAATAAAAGCGAAAACCTCGGATTTAAATCCGAGTGTTATGTGTACTTCAAAAAGTGAAGAGGTATATTCACTTTGTTTTTTGTCAACTGAGACATATCTAGGCAATTTGCTTTCTGTATGCAGTTTTTGTGCATTTTGAGACCTTTTTCAGGCGATGTTTTGTTAGAAAGCTACGATTTGGTTCAAAACTAATATCAGATTCGGAATCAGCGTTAAAAACTGAGTCGATTTATATATGNAATACATACCCTTTTTGTTTTACATATGATATGCAAAGATAATCGATGTATATTGCTATGGCTGTTACTAGATTAGAAGATCTACCAAATGAATTGTGGTTAGAACTTTTCGTCTATTTCACATAGTCAGAACTAAATTCAACATGGTTTCAATGGAAACTTAATAATCGTATTCAAATGTTAGCTGAAGTAGCGCGGAATCGAGTTGCTTTGTCACTCTCGTCAATGTCATTTACAACGTACGATCAATGTTTGCATTATTTCGAACATGAACATCCAATGATTGCTTATCGTATAACTTCTCTTTTCTTAATGAATCAGCTGTATCAAATGAAATTATTAATCGATGGCTTGAAAATGATACATCTTTTCTTCCACGTATTCGACAATGTAAAGTCTATATAGATCTCATTAATAGATCTGTTCGCACAAATGTTATTCTCCTTATTCGTCGACATGCATCGATATTACGTCGTATTGTATTTTATTTCGAAAGAGTCGACAGATATTATGTTGTATTGAAAAAGATCATCGAACAACGCATTTCTCTGCATACAATGCAATTTATCATTGTTGGAGGTAAAGAAATATGTTTTTGTTGAGGAATATTCGTATGTCTTCGCAGATTATCGAATATTTCGAAGTAATTAGAACAGAACTTTAGACTAATGAAAGCGAAGTAACTCATCAAATATGATATACAATGATGATTGCGTATCTTTTTAAGGAATTCAGAAAAAAATAATCTATCAGTAAATTTCATTGTTGAATTAATCTTAATCGGATATATTTCAAAGCTTGATAATGAAAGTTATAAATTCTACAATCATTGAATGTACACAAGTCCAAAATTTTCGTTCTATATAGATTGTTTTCTTCAATCTACTTATGATTTATTGATGAAATATTTTATTTAAATAACATCAGTATCTATATTATTTAGACATATTTCATAGTGAATTTCGTAATGGATTCATTGAAAAATCATAATGTATAAGAATTTTTTTTTACTTAACTTCATATCAAGGTTAGTTAGTGAACTTGTTTTGAGAGATTATTTGATATGAAAACAAAATGATATCAATCTATTATTCTTATCATTAGATGTAGATTGGAATTAAATTAATCGTGAAAGTGAAATTTATTTATCTATGACAAAACAAGTTATTCTTAAATCTGTGACTTTCAGAAATCGATTGGAAAATATATTTCTAGTGTCATATTAAATAAAACATTTGAACAATTATATATAAGAGTGACAGATAGACCTCTTTTTTTTTCTCAAGACCTCTAAATGTTCTGAATAAAGAAGGTTCCATATTTTATGACATTCAAAGCTTGATGTTAAACGTTCGAGAAAGGATATTTTGGATATCTGACCATCAAAAGTATCCTCGGATGTGTTCACGCCGAGGAGAATCTATAGAAAATCTAATATTGATAATACGAAAAACAAATATAAACAGAACGATTGAAATCTTTGAACGTAGCTTAAGAGAAACTGATTGAGCATTCTATTGTACAGCAATCTTTTCTATTTCAACAAAGATATTTGTCTCAATTGAGAGCTTTTTATAGATAGAATGCAAGTAAAATGAAAAATTGTTCAAGAGATTTCCATTTTGGAAAAATATTTAGAGAAGAACAAGTGATGTGAATATAATATTGCAAGATATGATGTTTATACAAGGATAAAGAAAATATTTTTCATGTTTTCAATGATCATCTTTGTCAAATAAACATGTCTATCATGTGAAATTTGATTCTCTCTTGTTTTAGATAGAAGATGTTGTGAATGGGGAAGTTCTTTAGCGGAATGTGACACTTATTCTCATCAAATGTTTACATTTCCGAATACTGTTCGTTTGCGTCTCTCGTTACAACATATATCTGATTTAGCATTATTGATGCAATATGATACTTTACCGCGAATAGAACATCTTCATATTACAATGGAAAATGGAATATATACTTCATATAAATTACACAATGAATATGAAGATACATCTTGTCTTACACTATGTTCCAAAGATTTCAATATAAGTCGATCTAGTCTAACACATTTACGTACATTACAATTGAGACAAGTAGCCATTACTAATGTTATTGTATTGATACAACATGTGAAATCAATGAGTCAAATTGAAGCATTAATTTTAATGAACTGTAATGTTAAAGGTATGTATAGTTAATAGAAAATCTAGATTATCAATGATTATAGTTGATAAAATCATTCTTTCATTTTTAGATAGGANTGTCTATATTCGGAATTTCAATAATGACAATTTTTTCGATAACTCAGCCATTTCTTGACGGATCCTTCTCATCTTCGAACTCGACCGAGACATTGTTAAGACTGAACTATGTAGAAAATTTCATCGCGATCTGACTCTCCTTTCAAAAGTTATCGTGTAAACGGCCGGACACACTGACCGATTCTAGAGTGTACTCACTTTTTGAGTACACAAAAACAGCTTTTTCTTCTTCTATTTCTACTTATACACATGAAGAAATTGTTTTTCAACAAAAGTTACTGAATTATTAGATTGTCAATTATAGAAATTCCGAATATAGACATAAGCAACTTTGTCAGATATCCGCAAACGAATGGAAAAACAGCAAAAGCTTCAGTCTGGAAGTCTGCTGCTTCCCCATTCGTAGAAGAGTTCAAGACTAAAGCTTCTGTTGTTTTCTTCTCGTCTGCAGACTGTCCACAGAAAAATCGCGGTTCAAGTTGTAAAATATTTTCGTTGGTACATAGTTGTCTTTGTTCTCATCGTAGTTTTCACCTGTATATGTAGGAGCATAAATAATTTGATTTTCGCGGTTAATTAAAATTGCGGTTTTATCAGAATTTTTTTTTCCCTGCATGGTGTTCTATGGAGTAGCTTTACGATAAAAAATTTGAATATCTTCACTTTCTATGAGGTCAGATTCTTCTTATGCGATACAGAAGATTTTAGAGTTTTCTTTTTTCAATAAAAACAAAATTTATAAATATTGCTTGAAAATATTATCAATGACTTCGCGATAATAAATTTCTATCTTTTATTATGTTGAAGATGATCATATTCAGATTTATGTGTGCATACATTCGTCATGTGTTTCATTATGTTTTTTTCTTCTTTCTCACTACCAATGTAGATATACTATCTTTTCCTAAGTGCAATGAAGTGAAAGCGAGAGTCACTTTGATGATCCTTGCCGGTACTTGTTATTATACAGACTCTCAATAAATATACTTTCACATTATATATACTTTACGACCTGTAAGTTCATGAAAGTCGGATAAAAAAAAACCATTCTAAAGTCTCCGTTGTCACAGAAAAAAAGAATTGGCATTATTAAGTGTAATTTTCTACCGTAAAGCTACTTATAAATTATCCTGTAGAAAAAATTAGGTTTTCCAGTAGATTAAATTCTTGTAGCTATATAAAAGGTTTGTCTTATCGCTTGATTATATTCTTAATAGTTTTCATAATGAACCAATTCTAATATACATCACACTTTGTAAGGATCTTTTCAAATCTGTCTATCTAATACATTTATGTTCTATCGATTTCTCTTACCGCTCTGTTATGATCACCTGTTGAACATAGTTTAACATAGATAATCTATCTTCATATATACAATTTGTTTTTCTAAGAATAAACGGTTATTTACTCGTAGAATATAACACATTGTATATATGACGATAGATTATCTATGTTAAACTATGTTCAACAGGTGATCATAACAGAGCGGTAAGAGAAATCGATAGAACTTATATGTATTAGATAGATAGATTTGAAAAGATCCTTACAAAGTGTAATGTACATTAGAAGAAAGGCAAGAAAATACAGTTGAACAATAAAAAAAAAAAATAACATGAACACATATGCAAGAAAAATACATCCAATCACAAGTTAACAATCATATGACAAAAGAGTAAATATTATTTAATGTACGATGAGGAATCAATGTTTAATCTTTGAGATATAATTCATTAATTGATCTTTTGTCTTTTCCAGATTATCACCTAATAAAAAGTTATTATTAAATTCGTGTACAATATTATTGACATGATCTGATTGCAAAGTCGATAATTGAATATCGATGATACTCCAGGATTTGTTGTTGAAATTGTACATAAATAATATTTGTGGATTTATTGTTCTCATATCACCAAATAAATTGATTTCATAGTCATAGTATTGAGCAATGAAAAATACCGGTGGTGTTACTGTTCGATCGAAAAGTATAGTTAGATCCGAAATAAGTACTAATCCTTTCATTTCATCTAGATCACCACCGTCTAGGTTCATGATTGTATTCGAATATTCAATACATTTGAGAAAATCTTGTAATTGATTAATATTCAATCCATCAATTACTGGTATAACTGTAGCATAATTATTTTTCATCCGATTTAGTTCATCGTTGAATGATTTATACCTGACATTATTTAAACCACCAATGATAAATATGCTTTTAAAAGACGAGTTGTTTTTGTTTTTACGTTGATTGAACATTAAAATTGATTGTTTAATCAAATTTTGAACTTCGTGTTGCATATTATTCTTGTTTTCTAAATTAAACTTAGATGGATCTGTGTGAAACATGTAAGCTCTACTATCATCTAATAGAATCACTACAGCAATGCACCAATACACTCCAGATGTTGATAAAACAGCATCGATTGATGCTTTTCCAATTGAAACATTTTTTATATAAGACATTACAATATCTAGATAAAACAAAAAGAAAAATTAAATCGTTAGTTTTATTTAGTATCAATTGAATTTGTTTCATTCGTTATGGTCACATTAATCTTTACATTGTCGAAAATTTGATTGAAAAGCGTCGTTATACTATGAATGGCCAAATTTTGTTAAGCACAAAAAACTTCTTATAGGTGTTTTATTACAAAGATGTCGCTACGAAATAGTATGATATTGTGTTGAAATTGAACATTGACGGTTAAAAAAAGAAATAATTTGATGAATATTATAGATCATTACAATTCTATCATGATCTTCAATTAAATATATTTTGATCTATATTTATACTTGAATTTTCATCAATGAGCTGCATCTTGTCATAAACTCATTTTATCAGATAGAATTGTACGATAAATTCGTACTAGAAAACATGCAAATTGATCTATAGATATAAGAACAATATTTTCAAATAATTATCAATAATCATCAATTCTGTCGGATGAATAGAATTAGTTAAAATCTTTTAAATGAGATTTGTTTGGCCATTAGTATAACTTTCCAAATGAACCTGTCGTTTATATTTTCAATAGCAACTATACTTGTCCAATTAAGTGAATATACGAGTGAAGAGTGTGCCCATTGTATGGTTAGGTTTTGCAAAGAAAAATGCCTATAAGTCCAGTTCGGCTTGATCAATTTTCATGATTTTTTTTTTGTTCAATTGGTCCATAGATGGTTATACACTAGTGACAAAATCAAGTTTTCAGCTGTCGTAGTCTCCGAGATAGCAGGACAACAATGTCGAAATATCTAGCTTCTAACACCATCTAGTGATATAAAACGTATTTTTTTATTACATTCCAAATATTGTAAAATTATTTTTCTAATTAAAGTTGTAGAGCTCGTTAAGTGCTTCCAGAATATGTTTTTGGTTTTACCTTTAAACGAAGTTCTACAAATAAAAACCGTCAAGAACAAGGTGAAAATACCTGTCATGTTTAGTGTGGAGCGACATTAAAATCATTGTCTAATTCATTCTAACGGATTTCATCTAAATAAATTGATTGGATATAAAAGAGGTAAAGAGGGAAAATAATTTGACAACAAAAAGGATATGTCTGGTAAAGTTCATTGATATAAGAGCTTCACGCAAAATATAAGCACATTTGACGTTCAGATATTCTACTCAATAATTTGAACGTTCTAGTGCTATCATAATATATTTAAAAAATTATTTCTTTTACTATACAAGCATTGAGTTGAGTCCGATAATGGCCCATACAAGCGTAAATATCCGTGAAGGATTTAAAGAAGAATCTTGACTCATCTATAGCTAGCGTCATAGAGATAACTTATAACATTATTCTAGTGAAACTACATGTGGGTCCGACTGGACCCACATACGTCCTTCGTGTGAAAAAATGAGAACAGCGCTCAAGGGTTAATTACGATTAACAATGAATTTCATTTAAAATGATAAGATTATTTGAGATTTGATGAATTTTGAAATTTTATGTTGAATGCATCTGTATATGTGAGTTATAAGTTGAGTAAGTGATGTCGGAATGTGCATAACAGGTTTTGAAAAGCTTTTGAGTTCAGTTTATTGATTCAGATGTATTTAATAATATATCATTTGATAGATTTTTTCATGTTGAGTCGAATGAAATCGTTTTTAGGTGTGGCACAAGTTGTAGAGCAAATCGATATATGAAATATGTGATAAAATGGTGATTTTTGACGTTTTTCAGGTGAGTTTATTGAAGTTGTTATTCAAAATGTGCAATGGAACACATCAATCGATAGAGTAAATCGAGATGCATCGAAATATATAAGTTTCCATGATTTACAGTTTTTATGAATTTGTTCCCATAGAAGAAAAAGACCTTTTCATATGTATGGAACATTCCGTGAAGTTTATATAAAATGTAAGTATACCATTTAATAGAGCTCGTTGAATTCTGTCTGGCACACAACAAAGAACAGGTAGCATACTGCTTCAAGTGAACCGGTTGAAGAAAAACTCGAATCTCTCGCTAATTTCATCTACATACATATTCAAGGTTCATTTCAAATTTATTGGTGTAAATCAATTCATTCATCAAGAGCATTGTCGTTGTGCGACCAAAATGGCAAAAATAAACAGTATGATAGTTCGAAACACTTGTAATATATTTATTCTAAAATGTGTGCAATAGCTGTAACAAAATCAAGAACCTCTAAGTAAATGTGTCGTATGACAACTACTTAGAATATTCATTAACCAAAAAAGAATAATTTATTCATCATGTTCGTTAGGATATAGTAAATTACGTCTTAAATATTTAACATATATGAATATGTGATTAGAATGCACAGATAACCATTTTGTATTAATACTTACAATAACTATGCCTATTTCATTGAAAGCATAGTAACAGTTCATGTGAGAATATTATTTGTCATTAGCTATACTATAGCTGCTATAGTATAGTTGATATTTTTGTTAGAAGCAGGCAGAAAAACTCAGAGACAAATAACTTGAAAGTCAAAGTTATCAATAAATTGAAATTGAATGAAGCATTATGAATAGCCCATTACAGTTTAATTGTTGTTAAATCTTTTACAGAGTCAAATATATTGAAAAATTAAGAATGAAATCACACCGAAAAAAAAATAAAACAAATAAACACTGAATTAATCAATATAATAGTCATTGTTACGTAGGAACGCCAATCATCTTGCTTTATTTTATTTCAAACTGATTCATTTTTCTCGGTATAATTGACTCACTAAAAAACACTATTGATGTTTCAACGTAACAAAGACACAATCACAACAATTAATTCAGTGTTAAGTTTTCTAGTCTGCTTTAGATTGATGTGTTTAAATTGTTATTGGAAATATTTGACATCCTCTGTCGTATTGGATTATATATAAACAATGATCATGTCGTTGATGATATCGAAATAGACTATTGAAACAATAGAGGAATAAACATTGTTTTATATCATGGACGGACGAGCAGCATTGTTTGTCTACTCTATATTTATGTAATACATGGCCTTTTTGCTTTTTTCATATGATATACAAAGATAATTGGTGTATATTGCTATGACTGTTACTAGATTAGAAGATCTACCGAATGAATTGTGGTTAGAACTTTTCGTCTATTTCACATGGTCGGAACTAAATTCAACATGGTTTCAATGGAAATTTAATAAACGTATTCAAATGATAGCTGAAGTAGCGCGGAATCGAGTTGCTTTGTCACTCTCGTCGATGTCGTTTACAACGTACGGTCAATGTTTGCATTATTTCGAACATGAACATCCAATGATCGCTTATCGTATAACTTCTCTTTTGCTAAATGAATCAGCTGTATCAAATGAAATTATTAATCGATGGCTTGAAAATGATACATCTTTTCTTCCACGTATTCGACAATGTACAGTCTATATAGATCTCGTTAATAGATCTGTTCGCGCAAATGTTATTCTCCTTATTCGTCGACATGCATCGATATTACGTCGTATTGTATTTTATTTCGAAAGAGTCGATAGATATTATTCTATATTGAAAATGATCATCGAACAAGGCATTTCTCTGCATACAATGCAATTTATCATTATTGGAGGTAAAGAAATATGTTTTTGTTGAGGAATATATTTGTATGTCTTCGCTGATTATCAAATATTTCGAATTAAGTAGGGTTGAACTTTAGATTAATGAAAACGAAGTAACTCATCAAATATGATATACATTGATGATCGTGTATCCATTTACAAATTCAGAAAAAAATAAATGTATAAATTAATTTAATGTTAATCGGATAATATATTTTGAAAGCTTGATATTGAAAGTAATAAATTCTACAATCATTGAATGCACACAAGTTCAAAAGCTTCGTTCTATATAGATTGTTTTCTTCAATTTAATTCTTATGATCTTATTTTATTTAAATAAGAGCAGTATCTATATAATTTAGACATATACTGATGGATTTCATAGTGAATTTCGTAATGGACTCATTGAAAAATCATAATGTATAAGAATTTTTTTTCACTTAACTTCATATAAAGGTTAGTTAGATATGTTTAACAGTGAACTTGTTTCGAGAGATTATTTGATAAGAAAACAAAATGATATAAATCTGCTATTCTTATCATTAGATGTAAATTGGAATTAAATTAATCGTGACAGTGAAATTTATTTATCTATGACAAAACAAGTTATTCTTAAATCTGTGACGTTCAGAAATCAATTGAAAAATATATTTCTAGTGTCATATTAAATAAAACAATTGAACGATTATATGTAAAAGTGACTGATAGACTTCCTTTTTTTTTCTGAAGACCTCTAAATGTTCTGAATAAAGAAGATTCCATATTTTGTGACATTCAAAGCTTGATGCTAAATGTTCGAGAAAGGATATTTTGGATATCTGAGCATCAAAAGTATCCTCGGATGTATTCATGTCGAGGAGAATCTATAGAAAATCCAATATTGATAATACGAAAAACAAATCTAAACAGAACGATTGAAATCTTTGAATGTAGCTCAAGAGAAATTGATTGAACATTCTATTGTACAGCAATCTTTTCTATTTCAACAAAGATATTTGTCTCAATTGAGAACTTTTTATGGATAGAATGCAAGTAAAATGAAAAATTGTTTAAAAGATTTTCATTTTAGAAAAATATTTAGAAAAGAACAGGTGATATGAATATAATATTGCAAGATATGATCTTTATACAAGGATAAAGAAAATATTTTTCATGTTTTCAATGATCATCTTTGTCCAATAAACATGTCTATCATGTGAAATTTGATTCTCTCTTGTTTTAGATAACAAATATTATGCATGGGGAAGGTCTTTAGCGGAATGTGCCACTTATTCTCATCAAATGTTTACATTTCCTAACACTGTTCGTTTGCGTATCTCGTTACAACATATATCTGATTTAGCATTATTGATGCAATATGATACTTTACCGCGAATAGAACATCTTCATATTACAATGGAAAATGGAATATATACTTCACATAAATTACACAATGAATATGAAGATACATCTTGTCTTACATTATGTCCCAAAGATTTCAATATAAGTCGAGCTAGTCTAACACATTTACGTACGTTACAATTGAGACAAGTAGCCATTACTAATGTTATTGTATTGATACAACATGTGAAATCAATAAGTCAAGTTGAATCATTAATTTTGATGAACTGTAATGTTAAAGGTATGTATGGTTAATAGAAAATCTAGATTATCAATGATTATAGTTGATAAAATCATTCTTTCATTTTTAGATAAGAATGAACTTATTGTATTTAAAAGCTGCATTACAAATTTTATGATTTGTCTGCGTTGTCTTCATTTTGTACTTTATTTACCTGCTGAAACAAAGCTTGAAAACATTGATCTTTATTGGTTTAATTTAAGTCATCATACTGTTGTATATGAGATAAATGAACTGATGGTACTTTACACAGTTCCATATCTATTAAATAGTCAACGACAAGTATATAATCATACGTTTGGACGACAATCGACAATCAATAATAATATAACTCATATTGAATGGACGATTGATCGTGACCCTTTATCTATCAATACTACTCTTACTCATTTTCAACATGTTAATTCACTTGTTTTATTTTTTGATATTAAAGTAAATATTCAATGTAAATCTATGGACATTTTCATTTATTTAGATTGTTTAGGAAATGAATATAAATCTAGATTCTTGGCATGTATTACTTCCATTTTTACGTCATCTGAAACTTAATTTTGATTCGAATCCAATCAAATTTGATAAATTGTATGATCGATCTGTAACACCAAATCATTATCGTTGTATTATTCTCGAACAATTTCGTCAATGTGCTTCTGTACTTGAGTATTTGACGCTATACTGGTCTGATATTCGACTTCTTCTTAAACATTCTTCTTCACCTTGGCCATTCGTTCGACAACTTAATATTCTTATGGAGTCATTCACAAACATTCCATCTGCATCTTTGATGAAACGATTACCAACAAACAAAGCTTTTCCTCAACTACAATATCTTTCATTTGGTGGTCGTCGTTTCTCACTCAGCCCACCGAAACCACTCGCAACTCGAATCCTCTTATGTTTTGATGCTCTCGTATCTTCTTCATCAAAATTTATCATATTACATATCAATAGATGTTGTGGTACTCATCGAAGTTTACCTTTTACATCTCGTGATATACTTCTGACAATTCTTACAGAACGTATTCGTTCGAGAAGTGATCACTATTCATCATCTAAAATCATTATTGATTCAAATGAAGAGATTATCATTTGGCTTTGAAAGAAACTTTTTATTATATAGTAACTATGGAAAGCAAATATTGAAGAAATTTCTATTACAAGAGAATATAAGACGATGAAATGTTTTTGTAAAATTTGTTCATAGAATTTCATAAATATAACAACTCGAACAAATTTTCAGTTTCATTTCTTTTCTTAGCTATTAATATGACGATAAACTTTATACTAATCGTTTGGAATTCTTCTTTCGAATATATACACTACTTATATACATAGACTGAAACACCAACAAGTGAGAAGGATGAGTATATTCTGAAGAAGTACAGTGCTTCAATATAAGGATGGGCGATTGTTATACAGTCGTAAAAATAAGACAGTCGACTCGAATTCTAAGTTAGAAAAGAGTTGGAATCGTCACTTGTTTTTGATTGAAAAATTCTTTTTTTAAATAGAACTTAAATTAATTGTTCAAACATCTACTTATATAATAATCAAGTTGAAAAAATGGATTCAAGGTGCTAACAGAAGTGAAATAATGATTACTACAGATAGACCATTTAGCACGGCAATAGATAATGAAGAATCAATTTATATATCGTCTATATCTTCATCAAAACTGAAGAAATATCGTAAACGTGTAACGAATGGTCGAGTACTCCTGTCTGGTGAAGTTGTACCTTTCCCATTGACTGTTGATCGACATAGATCTATTTATATGGTTGATAGGTGCCATGATCGAGTGTTTCAGATAGACGAAGGAAGAACAAATATCTCGATTGTAATCGGTGGATCAGAACATATTGGTACACATCAACTATGAAAACCACACTCAGTTGCTGTTGATGAATCGGGTGCTCTCTATATCACTGAATGGAACAATCATCGAATCACACAATGGCTACCTGGATCAACAGATGGCATTGTGATTGTTGGTGATTGTGGTCGAGGTTCCCATTCGAATCAACTTCACGGTCCTACTGACTTGGGATTTGACAGTGAAGGAAATCTTTATGTTGTCGGTAGTGTGAATAGGAGAATACAAAATTTTCTTATTGACAATAGTTCTTGTCAATAAATGTAAGTATGAAATAATAATTACTATCATTAGCTGTTGATTTCTCGTTTTAGAATATGGCTAACGACGATCAACACAATAGGCTGATTCCAACGTATTTGTGACACTTTATAAATGACTTTCTTCAAATCGATTTTAACCTTTATAATCATGTATAACATAGTCGATTTTCTTTGCACGACGACAAAAGATCCGCTATAAATTCTAATAATGAAGAGATCGAAGATTGGCAAAATATGGCTTAAAATACAGAAACATAATAAAGTAAAGCTAGAAATATGTAAAATATCCATCATCATATATTTTTAATGCAGAATTTGTGCACATAATGGTATAGCAGATTTTCTAAAGCAAAGTTTACTCGACAAGCCCATGTATATAACACTTTTCGGAGACTATCAAAGAGAGTATCTTTTGAGCATGAAAAGATTGTCATCAATTATCAAGCTATAAATATATATACCATGACATGAACTTCTGTGACAAATTTTTCATGCTCAAAAGATACTCTCTTTGGTAGCTTCCGAAAAATGTTATATATATTCGTGGAAAAAATAAATTGCACACTATATTTTGAGGATATCATTACCATAACAGTGTACTTTTTTAAAAGAGAATGACATATTTTGAAAGCGCCTGGAGTTTTTCATCAGCCTGTATATTTGGATTTTCATCTGAACATATGTATTACCAAAAAAAATTTGAATTCAATGAAGGCATTCTCGTGTCTAGATTCCGACAAGCTCGATTGTGCCACTGTCATCAAAATTAGTTTTTAAAATTTTTCATCACTATGGAATTACCTTTTGAAAAAAGTAATTATAGATTCTGATAAAGCCTCAATTCTCTATCTCCCTGTATATTTATCTCTTTTCTTGAGTTTATATACAGAAAAAAAATTGAGTACAATGAACATACTCTGAATCTCTCGTACAAAAACTCTGCATTTTCCCTTCCTTCGAGTTTTCTTTTTGAATTTATATTCCTATGCGAATTTTCTTTTCAAACAGCAATTGTATATCCTGATAGACATTGGAATTCTCTACCATCCTGTATATTCGTGAATTATCTTGCATTTGTGTGCTGAAAAATAATTCCAGTATCACTTCGACATACTAGTTGACAAGCTCTAAAAAGAAATAATTTTTTTCCTATCTCTTTCGTCTTTTATTTCAAAAGTTCACGATGATAGAGAATTTCAAGCTCTATCAGAATCTATAATTAGTTGTTTAAAAAGTTATTCTTATACTAATAATAAAGTTGAAATAAAAAAGAAAGTGTTACAAAAACGAATCCAGTTTTTGAGATTTCTCGAGGAAATTACCGATGTAATACTGGAATTATTCTTCAACACATCGGGACATAAATGCAAGGGATGCAAAATTATATGGCTTGATAGAAAATTTCAAGCTCTATCAGAATATATAATTACTTTTCTAAGAAGATAATTCTATAGTGATGCAAATTTAAGAAACTAATTTTGATGACAATGAAAAATTCATGTCTGTGGGAATCTAGACATAAGGGTACCTTCATTGTACTCGATTTATTTTGATAATAGTTATGTATAAACTAAAATATAAATATATATAGTGATGGAAAAATTCCACGGGCTTTCAAAATACATAATTAGTNTTTTTGTAAAATTTGTTCATAGAATTTCATAAATATAACAACTCGAACAAATTTTCAGTTTCATTTCTTTTCTTAGCTATTAATATGACGATAAACTTTATACTAATCGTTTGGAATTCTTCTTTCGAATATACACACTACTTATATACATAGACTGAAACACCAACAAGTGAGAAGGATGAGTATATTCTGAAGAAGTACAGTGCTTCAATATAAGAATGGGCGATTGTTATACAGTCGTAAAAATAAGACAGTCGACTCGAATTCTAAGTTAGAAAAGAGTTGGAATTGTCACTTGTTTTTGATTGAAAAATTCTTTTTTAAATAGAACTTAAATTAATTGTTCAAACATCTACTTATACAATAATCAAGTTCAAAAATGGATTCAAGATGCTAACAGAAGTGAAATAATGATTTTAATACAGATAGACCATTTAGCACGGCAATAGATAATGAAGAATCAATTTATATATCGTCTATATCTTCATCAAAACTGAAGAAATATCGTAAACGTGTAACGAATGGTCGATTACTCATGTCTGGTGAAGTTGTACCTTTCCCATTGACTGTTGATCGACATAGACCTATTTATATGGTTGATAGGTACCATGATCGAGTGTTTCAGATAGACGAAGGAAGAACAAATATCTCGATTGTAATCGGTGGATCAGAACATATTGGTACACATCAACTATCAAAACCACACTCAGTTGCTGTTGATCGTGGTCCAGGTCCCCATTCGGATCAACTTCACGGTCCTACTGACTAGCGATTTGACAGTGAAGGAAATCTTTATGTTGTCGATAGTGTGAATAGGAGAATACAAAATTTTCTTATTGACACTAGTTCTTGTCAATAAATGTACGTATGAAATAATAATTACTATCATTAGCTGTTGATTTCTCGTTTTAGAATATGGCTAACGACGATCAACGCAATAGGCTGATTCCAACATATTTGTGACACTTTATAAATGACTTTCTTCAAATCGATTTTAACTTTTATAATCATGTATAACATAGTTGATTTTCTTTGCACGACGACAAAAGATCCGCTATAAATTCTAATAATGAAGAGATCGAAGACTGGCAAAGTATGACTTGAAATACAGAAACATAATAAAGTAAAGCTAAAAATATGTAAGATACCCATCATCATATATTTTTAATGCAGAATTTGTGCACATAATGGTATAGAAGATTTTCTAAAGCAAAGTCTATTTGACAAGTCCATGTATATAACACTTTTCGGAGACTATCAAAGAGTTATATATATTCGTGGAAAAAATAAATTGCACACTGTATTATGAGGACATCATTATCATAACAGTGTACTTTTTTAAAAGAGAATGACATATTCTGAAAGCGCCTGGAGTTTTCTATCAGCCTGTATATTTGGATTTTCATCTGAACATATGTATTACCAAAAAAAATTTGAGTTCAATGAAGGCACCCTCGTGTCTAGATTCCGACAGGCTCGATTGTGTCACTGTCATCAAAATTAGGTTTTAAAATTTTTCATCACTATGGAATTACCTTTTGAAAAAAGTAATTATAGATTCTCATAAAGCCTCAATTCTCTATCATCCTGTATATTCGTGAATCATCTTGCATTTGTGTGCTGAAAAATAATTCCAGTATCACTTCGACATACTAGTTGACAAGCTCTAAAAAGAAATCATTTTTTTCCTATCTCTTTCGTCTTTTGTTTCAAAAGTTCACGATGATAGAGAATTTCAAGCTCGATTAGAATCTATAATTAGTTGTTTAAAAAGTTATTCTTATACTAATAATAAAGTTGAAATAAAAAGGAAAGTGTTACAAAAAAGAATCCAGTTTTTGAGATTTCTCGAGGAAATTACCGATGTAATACTGGAATTATTCTTCAACACATCGGTACATAAACGCAAGGGATGCAAAATTATATGACTTGATAGAGAATTTCAAGCTCTATCAGAATATATAATTACTTTTCTAAAAAGATAATTCTATAGTGATGCAAATTTAAGAAACTAATTTTGATGACAATGAAAAATTCATGTCTGTGGGGATCTAGACATAAGGGTACCTTCATTGTACTCGATTTATTTTGATAATAGTTAAGTATAAACTAAAATATAAATATACAGAGTGATGGAAAAATTCCACGGGCTTTCAAAATACGTAATTAGTTTTTTCAAAATACGTTTTTATGATAAGGTTTTAACTAAAATACGGACCGCAGCTTTTTTTCTGGGCGAATATTTTGTTAAATAATTTTCGAAGACGATTCTCTTTCATACAAGTAAAACTTCAGCATTCTGAAAGACACTCATGTAAATAAACATGTTCATCAAGACCATAAAAAGTATTTTAAACGATTTTATACTGAGTAATATGTCTCTGAAAACTAAATCAAATATCTTATGTTTTAAGGAAAAAAATCTACTGATATTGATTTTGTACATGTTTATTTGTTGGAAATCAATAGAAATAATAATCGCTTATGACAAAAAGAAAAGCAGATAAAATACACACATAAGAAAATAAATATACAAAATGAAAATAAAGAATTTTTCTCTTCGATTTTTAATATTAATTTGGTTGATTAACAATTTCCATAATTTCAAATAGAATACCTTGATTAACACGTGGCATATATGCTACAGCTGTATCATCTGTATCTGTTGCTTCTTGTTTCGTTAAATCTTCACGTAATAATAAAATTTGTATAACCTGATTCGTACTCAAACTTGGATATTTTTTTCCTAATGCACCTATTTCAACCGCCCTCAAAT